AACGGTGCAATTTGGAGCTAAAACGAGCAAGAAAAAAATTTAAATCCAATCCAAAACTAATATATTTTTCCAAATTAAATCCCAAAAAAGTCTTTAATAAAAATCTAATCTAAAATAAATCCTTCAGTTTTATCACTAAAAATAAATTCTAGACCATATTGGTTGACTCAAATAACACCATTATGTGTGGTGCACTTTGATTAGTTTACCACACTTATTAGAGATCTAATTATTAAACGCACTCTAGCTAATATAAAATCTAAATCAATATGTTAATTCTTTTTCATAAACTTAAAATTCCTTTCAAGTGAGCTTAAGATTCCTTTCGAGTGGGCTCTAGGAATCCTCTTTTGACCCTGGTGAGTGGATAACATAAAATAATCATCTTTGGTTTCACATGAACTCAATAAAAACTTGATTTGAATTATTGTAGTTAACATTCTAATAATAAGTTTTTATTGGAACCAAGAAAGGCGAGGTTTAATTTATGCCCGACTATGTTCAACTTATAGATTTCATACTGGACCTCTAGATTAAGTTCACTTAAAATCAACCCTAATGCCTTAGGATCTTTCTTAGGGACTTTAAGATCTTCTTTAAGCTCTTCCTTCAACCTAAGGCCTTATTTGACCAAGTGAACCATAATTGAATTGTTGGGTCAACAAAAATCAACTATTAACAATTTTAAAATTTTTGACTCATATTGACTAACATACCTAGAGACCATTAGAATTTATTTTAATCCAAATAATGGCCTTTAATTTTTTAGCAATTTGGTTTGACCAACTGGTAGCATGATGATGCACAAAAAATATATGCATTTTTAGATTTATATTTTATACTAATTTTTTGTTGTATTGCACTTTAAAGAAATGTATTTTGCAAGTTTTTGGCTTCAGATAATAGAAATGGACTTTTGGTGAAAAAGAAGCAAAAACGGCTAGAAATGGACTTTTGATGAAAAAGAAGCAAAAACGGTGCAATTTGGAGCTAAAGAGAGCAAGAAAGAAAATTTTGTCCTGACACATTTCGATATGTTATTCTATGCTTAATATACTTCTCACTTCTCGCTTATTTTTGAATGAAAGTACACTTTAAAGAAAGATTATTTTCATTATTATTTTGTAGTTCTATCTGTTAGGAACACAACACAACTAAAACGGGGCAAAACAGAGCTAAAACGCAGCTAAATAGAGCGAAACAATGAAGTTGCTGCAAACCAGCGCCAACGGTGCAACGGTGCCCAAACCAGCGCCGCTGGCGCATGAGCTCAGAGAAGGACAAAAAATGGCGCCAACGGTGCCCGGGACGATTATGGACAGATTGTTGGCGATTTTTGATGTTCTAGAAGACTCCCAAGTGATTCAAACACCCTATGAAGTGATTCAATGCATTTAGACACTTGGAAAGAATCTTAAATGAAGGGATGTGTCTCTTGGAGTTAACGAGTGGTTTTTAAATGAAGATATGTGTCTCTTGTAAAAATTCAATGGATCTAGACATTTGGAGTGAAGAGATAAGTCTCTTGAAGTGAGCTCTTGGGAAAAAGGAGGGATTTTATGTCTCTTTAAAAGAGAGGGGCTAGCGCCTCTCATATGGGTGTGTGTGTGTGTGTGTGTGTGTTTGTGTGTGGGTGTGTGGGG